ATATCTCTCTTCTTCTCTAAGCTCCCCCTCATATATATAGTTCATTTCCCTTTTATCCAATCGTCTTTGACCGGCGTGCTTTCTTACGACTGTACCTTTCGTCGTCTACTCGAACACCACGCTTATTCTATGATGTACGCTTTCGACGATTCCACCCCAACGATGGTCGAGGTTCTCTTTGCTATCTCGTTCCCTGGACATGATTATAGCTTGGTCGAGCCCTTGTCATTCTTCTTGGGGAACGAACGCTACGGTCAGATTTTGACCCATACAAAGATGAGATGTACAAATGCTAAATATATCTATATAGTGACAACAACAACAACAACAACGACCCAGTATAATCCCACAAGTGGGGTCTGGGGAGGGAAATATGTACGCAGACCTTACCCCTACCCCGAAAGGTAGAGAGGCTGTTTCCAGGAGACCCTCGGCTCAAAAAAGCAATAGGAGATGATATATTAGTACCATAAAAATGCGTAATAAAAATAACAACAATATATAAGAGATATGAAATATGAAATACAGAAATACGAAATACGAAATAGATGGCTAGTATAGTACAATTAGAAGGTAAAGCCCTGCATCAATAGACGACCAATGACATTCCTAGTCTAACTCCTAACTGGATAGTCTCCCTCTATTGTGTTGTAGAAATATTCACACTCTCCCATAACCTACAACCTTAATACTCGACATCCATAATTCCCTATCAAGGGCCATGTCCTCAGTAATCCTAAGTCGCGCCATGTCCTGTCTGATCACCTCTCCCCANGTTACAGCTCTGGACATCACCTTTGTTCTTATACAACGGGACCATTGTACTCCACCTCCACTCTTCAGGCATTCTATTAGTCTTGAATATAACACTAAACAATACAGTAAGCCATTCCAAGCCTGCTCTACCCACACACCTCCATAGTTCAACCGGAATTTCGTCTGGCCCGGTAGCTCTGCCCCTTCTCATCTTACGCATTGCCTCCATGACTTCATCGATCTCAATGTCCCTACAATTACTTACTTTATGGTGACTGTCGGCATTCCTCGATTCCCCAAGTATAATATCCTGATCCCCTTCTTCACTTAGCAGTTTATGAAAGTAGGTCTGCAACCTCCTCTTAATCTGGTCATCTCACATCAAAACTTTGCCGTCATCATCTTTTAGCACCTCACTTGGTGGTGAGGTTTTAATAATGAGAAACCGTTTCAAATTCTATAATTAAGTGTGAGCCTTTACATTGTCCAATCGCTCCTTGCAGAATTATGTTGAAGTAGAAGAATGCAGCAATTAACGTTACCTCTTTAATACTGTCTTTATGTCCTCTTAAGTTTTGGTTGCTACATATCCAATTGTAAAGCTTTCTTTGGAGATTCTTGCTAAATTGAAAAATGTCATCTTAAAGTGTCCGGTTCAAGTTTCAAAAGAACATCACCCCCTGCTTCTGGCTTCTGTTTAGACGGTGAAATGTTGGGGGAAGGATGAGTGTATTGTTTAAAGGTAGAAGCATTTTGGTTAATCTTTCAAGGCGATCGGCGCTCCTCCATAGAGTTGGAGAATCTGGACTTTATGACTGTTGCCAAGATGTTTTTTGCGGACCCGCCCAAGAAGAAGAAATTCGGGTTTGATTTTCATCTGGTACAGTTCTTCTTTGCTTGCTTGCTTTCACTGGCTATATATTTGGTGGCTCAGTATTCTCGCTATGAAATGAGAAGAATGGAGGCGGAAGCTGAATTGAAAAAGAAAGCCGAAGAAGAAGCAAAAGCAAAAGCAAAAGAGATGGAATTAATGGCTGAGGAAGAAAAACAAGTGACTGATCCACAACTTTCCGAGGTGAAAGCAAGGCTAGATAAGTTGGAGGAGACCTTGAAAGAAATTGTGGTCAAGTCCAAAAAACAATCAGGTAATGTTGCGGAGAGACCAGCCAGCAATGCTGTCAAGAAAGAACATGGAACAGCTAAGCCAGGGACTCTAGGGGCGGATCTACCGGCAAAAAAAATATTGTGGCACTTGAACTCATGGTCTTTTCGCAAAATTAGATATTTTATTTACATATTTTCTAAAATTGGTTACTTCCACCGGTCTCCAATAAGTGACGAATTTGCCTTGGTCACGCCCATTAAGGAAATATTACTCCCTTCGTTTCAATTTATGTGAACATATTTGACTGGACACGGAATTTAAGAAAAAATGAAGACTTTTGGAATTTATGATCCTAAACAAGTCAAAAAGGGTCCCAGATTATTTGTATTGTTATAAAAGCTTCTCATTAAGGGTAAAATTGTAAGTTTAAACTAAATTGTTACCAAATTTAAAAAAGGGTCATTCTTTTTGGAACGATCAAAAAATAAAATAGGTTCATATAAACTGGAACAGAAGGAGTGAATTTTAGATAAAAATAGTTAGTGTGACTAAACTATCCTTAATTAAATGTTACAGCATAATTTAATGTGAGAAGTAAAAGACTTTTTAGGGATACGTACATAAGGACAATTTTGAAAAAACAAATTGAATTTTTTTTATTACATAAATGGACACTTATTTTGGACCAAAATAAAAAGGCAAATTGATCGCTTATTGTGGATGGGATAAAGTATAATATTAAGTGTTGACACCCATGCTCCAAGAAGATTGAACGATGCACTTGTTGAAGAGTGAGTTAATCATCAAGAGGAATAGGGATCTCACTTAATAAATTTTTTCTCTTTTTCTTAATAGTGCACCTATGTACTAGAAATACTAAATCTCCCTATGAGTCTCTCTAATCTCTAGTGATGGAAAAGCTCAGACAGAAGCATCTTTGTCAGGTCAACAACACCAACAACAAATTCAGTGTAATTCCATAAATCGGGTATGGGGAAAATAATATGTATGCAGGACTTACTCCTGCCTTATAAAGATAGAGAGTTTGTTTCCGATAGATCATCGGCTCAAGGAACAGTAGAGATAAGATAAAGCAACCAACTAGCAAACAATGGTGACGACAACGAAAAAATGAAGGTTACGTTCCTCTGCTGACATGAAGAAATGAAATCATTAGCCTATGTTATTTCTCGTAGTCAAGCTTTTTGAAGAGTAGTGCATAGCTTTGCAGAATAGAGAAAAGCCAGCTTTTAAGAACTGTTGCTCAAATCAATGGAAAATAGAAGAATTTTCTGTTGGTAAAAAATCTAAATCAAAATAATAATATAGACTATGTTTCAATTGAAGTACTAGATAAGTGTATATATCAAAATAAGCTTTAAGAAAACAACACTCCACTTTTTTATATCAGAAGTGTTTTTCTTTTCTTTTCTTGTTGAAGCAGAAGAGAGAATAAGATAAGTTGAGACAAAATCTCTTGAAATTAATTTGCCCTTAATGTTTGATGGGGCATCAAGTCAACGCCTCATGCCATAACCTGTACATAGAAAACGCCTCATGCCATTACTATCTCATTCGAAATTAATCTAGTTTTGTCTAATAGAAATTCCCATAACCTGCTTGCATGTATAGGCTTCATAAGCAACAAATCAGGTTGAGAGCGCCGAAGCTTATTCACCTGAAGCACTCATTTCATCTAATCAAATTCTATTGAGTCTGACTCATAGTGATCGTTTATCAAAGAACGACTCTGGTTATCAAATGATTGAACAAGAGAATATTTTATTGTTTCTAGATGGATATAAGACCATGTTAGAATTCTTGAAACGGAACAAAATAAAGTTGTGTTCTATTTCTCAATCTTTCTGACTTTTTCCTACAAAACGTCTGCTGTTGAAGAATCAGCAGATGAGTTGTGGTTAGGCTAGACATTGCTCTACATAATACTCCCTCCGTTTCAATTTATGTGAACTCATTTGACTGGACACGGAGTTTAAGAAAAGAGAGAAGACTTTTGATCTTGTGGTGTAAAATGAGGCACATATATTTTGTGTGGCTATAAATCATTGTGTAAAGGTAAATTGTTTCTAAATAAGGAAAGTGGTCATTCTTTTTGGCACGGACTAAAAAGGAAATAGGTTCACATAAATTGAAACGGAGGGAATACTTATTATGTGGTTGGGCTAATTCATAGATCTTTGGGCTTTGATTACCAAGGAATAGAGATCAAGTCGTCAAACATTTCCCATTCAGCTGGTATTGGGTCAAAGAACTAGGAAATTAAGGCAATAGTCAAAAAAAGATTCGTTTTGGCTAGAGCGCCCAAATCAGCTATATATTTGACACGGGTTGCTGGTGTATTAGGCGCTGCTTTGCTATGCACCATTCATGGTGCTACCGTAGAAAATATTTTATTTGAAGACGGTGATGGTACAAATACATTATGTGATTTTAACCCAACTCAAGCCGAAGAAACTTATTCAATGGTTGCCGCTAACCGCTTTTGGTCCCAAATCTTTGGGGTTGCTTTTCGGTTTGATACCCTGCTACGAATTCTTCTTCTACTTATGGTAAATCAAAAGGTAATCTTTCACACTCGGCTAGAGAAGAAATTAGAAAAACGATAAACCCGATGGGTTGAGGCCACAAATTTCATCCCCCAAAATCATATTTTGATTGTGCTTCCTCTGTATCAACTGTACTTGAACTAGTATATTTGGAGCTCAATATGAAATCCTATTTCTTGGTCTCAGTCCCAGTGTGGCTGATCATCCTCTCGGATCAGCTACTGATCATCACCTTGGTAAGCTATTGACTAATTCTGGTTATTGAATAAATGAAACTTTGACGAATAACTAATCGATAAAAAAAATCCCAATTTTGTCGAACTTTCCATTTTTGGAATCGTATTCAATGATTACAATTCTACTATATATGTCTTTTTCATTCTGTCGCGCGTGCCTATTTCGCTTTAAGAGGTATCAAAGCGAAGTTTTAGATAAAAACCTTTCGATTTCTGCTATGTCAAATTGTTGGCTAACGACTATAAAAATTTAGTTTATTCATTGTGAATTTCTCAACTCGAATTCTGCCAACAGAAGTATGTTCAAAAAATTAACTTAGGAAGATGAGACAGTAATTTCAAGAAAAGGAAACGTGACACTTCTTATTGTTTGTATAAAGATTTCTCCAGAAAGTAGCTTTGATTTATCAGTTTATTTTGAGATACACACTCTTTCTACTGTATGCAGCAGAGACAACCCCTTTGTATAATTCTACGATACTAAAGAAGCAAATAATGTGTTCAGCTAGATTTGTAAAACTTCAAGAATAAGACATTTTCTTTTCAAATTCCATCCTTTCTCTTGAATTAGAATTTAAGCAATTGCAAGTGGATCACTTTCCACAGCAGATTCCATGGCCTTCATAGCTTCAAATCTTGGCTCTTTGGCTTGAAACTTGAGTCCAGCATATAACTTCATATAATCATCAAACACGAACCTCGGATAAACTGTTTCGCTTTCCTCTGCCTCTTTCTCAACTAGAGCTGGTGCTGGATAGATCACTGCATCATTTCCTGGATTGTAAAACGAGGCTAGTGACATCCGAGTCCCGTCTGTTTGTGCAATCACTCTGTGCATCACGCTTTTGTATTTCCCATTGGTGATCACCTGTTTTTTCATTTCAAAAGTACCCTTTTAGTACGTCAAAGGTATGGTGAAAAGAAAAGACATATATAATAAGATAATCTAGGATCTTGTACCTCAAGTTGGTCGCCAAGGTTAACCACAATAGAGTGGCGCATGGGAGGAACATCGATCCATTGGCCATCTTTGAGGAGTTGGAGGCCGCTCACTTTGTCATCTTGGAAGAGAAGAATTATGCCACCAGCATCTGTGTGGGCGCGCAATCCCTTTATCAAATCTGGCTTGGGGCATGGTGGATAGTTGCTTACCTTAGTTCCAAAGTTGGGACCTTTTGTCCCAAAGAAGACCTTTTTCAGGTAGCCCTTTTCAAGGCCAAGATTTTCACATAGCAAGTCCAGTAACTCCTCTGCCAACTTCTCCAATCTTTTAGCAAAATCTCTCATGACTTCCCTGCATATCATTTCGGACATGATTTTAATATAAAGTTAAAACTTTGAAGTAAGAAACTATATATCTTGATGGTTCTCTTCTTGTTCTAGTTGCAACAGTGGTTTTGAACCCCCTTGATTTCTAAGCTATGCTTTTAGGCTATATCATGGAGATTCAAAATGTAATATATATAGAGGTAAAAAACAGATTTTACCTTATATGTGCAGTGTAATTTTTCAGCAAAGGGGGTTCGGGCGAAACCCCTCCTGCCCCCTAAATCCACCCCCTGAGTTGCAACTAATCCATGATACATATGGGCAACAACAAAAAGAGAAAAAAGGTGTAACATGTGGTGCATGTTCTGTTACATTATTGTTCTTTAAGGCTTCATAGTTCACTGTTTCTAGCCAAACTTCGGATCTTGGACAACTAATGCAGGGAAAGTTCGACAATGTCTCCTACTGTAATTTACGTAGTACGCACTCAATTATGTTTGAGGTTTATTTGTTTTTGTAGAGTGTTAGTATTGTGTGAATTACCTGTATTCATCATCAAGATCGGGTACTTGAGAAATGTTAGAAACAGGAAGATGGCGCAAGAAGAAAGTGCTTTCCCAATCAAGATCAGTAACCTCAGCTTGTACAGCTTCAAGACCTTTGCTGGCCACCAATTCTTTAAATCTCTGTTCCATGCACTTCTTGTAATGTCCCTTTGTTAATTTCTCTACTCTGTCCATTACTTCATGTGGAATCCCATGGTTCACCAACTGCAATAACAGTAAAAAACAAAAACATCAAAATAATATGCAAGATTTCTTATACAATGTTATTATATTGGATGGGGCAAAATTGTTGGAAAATTAGTGTTATCTCAAAGGTAATGTTACTTGGAAAATCTTTTCTCTTCCTAATATTATTTAGTAAGTTATTTTACAATTAATGGAGTCAGACTAGCCGTTATCTAGCTGTTGGAGCAACGCCTATATAAACATGTCTTTGGAAGGCTAAAGACACACTTTCCAATACAATTTTCTGAATCTTCTTCTTCCCCCTATATGCTGGGTTTCTTTCTTGATTTTCTGTTGGTTTTGTTCCCAGTTTAATAACTGAAATAGCTTGTTGAATCCTGAGAATACGCCTAATTTTATTCTTTGTTGTGTAAGCGAAATATCTTTAAGGACAATATCCTTGACACGCCACAAGCTACCTCCTATTCTCCATAACCAATTTTTCCAACAAAAACATCAGAGCAAAAAATTATATATACAAATTGTTACCTCAAAGAAGCCCCAGTTCTCACAGGCATCTTTAATCTTGTCCATTATGGCAGCTCTCTCAGTTCCATTGAGCTTTTCCAAGTTGATAATTGGGAATTTCTCCATCTTTCTTGGTAAAGTATGTGTTCCTAAATGTGATGCAATAAATTATTAGAATATGTGAATAGATGAATGCTAGACTGTTTGATGCAAAAGAGTGAGGCTTGAAAGGGGTATTTATAGGGGAGTTGAAGATATGAAGAAAGTAGGATCAGTAGCAATGAGGAATGTTTGTACAATGAGGGGTTTGCTCTTTTCTTTTTTTCTTGGTCCCACAATGCACATTCATTATTCCAAGTCTTGCAATGGTCCCACAGTCCAAGTCTACCTTACGTGAATTCTGCTCATAGTTACTTGTTCAACCTTCTTAACCACAAGTGGGATTTTGGAGCTAATGACAATCTGAAAATGACTAATTTCTGGTGGCTAAAAGTAGATTTTCCTTGCATCTTGACCAGAATATTATAGTATAGAGTTCTGTCGTGAGCGGCTGCTTCAGTGAAAACTTTATTGTTTGTTTCCTTTGTTATTTCTTTGCTATTTGTTTCATGTGTTATTTTACAGCTTGTTTGGTTTGCTGTTACATGTTGTATTGTACTGCATTATTTGCTTGAATACAACGTTTGGATAAATTGTATCGTTTGTTGTTATTTCATGATATTACGTACCAACAATATGAAGAACAAATTTTTAATATTACTAAGAAAAAAATAAGATACGGAGCAAAATTATTATATAAAAGATTGTGCAAAGGACAAAATATGAATACTTTAGTAAAGAAGGGGCAAGATGAGAGGAAAAAACAAGGTAACAACGCCACCACACCAAATCCATCATTCCATAAAGTGACACATTTTGTCGTTACGTAACGACGGATTTAATGATACAACAACAGCATACCCACTATAGTCCCACAAGTGGGGTCTATAACGATACGATACAATAAAATTTAAGTAACAATCAAAACAAATATTATATTTAAAGTAACAATACGATATAATATAATAGATAACAATGGTACTACCTGGGAAGTTGCCTGGCACTAGACAGTAATTCCAGGGGCTGCACATTGCACCAACACATCTTTCATATGAAATTTCTGGGAGATAGCTAAGGATTTGGTGGCACTGTTAACTGGAGAAGTTTTGTCTTGTTACACAAATTGTAGTGCAATTTGTTGCTTCACTTAAGAGTATGTTACTTAATATTCATGAATGCAAGGACTTCATGTCTTCTAGATATTTCCATAACCAACTAAACTATAATTGACATCATGTATGGTAAAACAATATGCAATGGAGAATCAATCCTTTAGTTGTGACAAAAAACATATGTGATTTTTTTCTTATCAGCCTAAGTCTTGTGTGTGTATGTATGGAGATGGGTGGGTGGGTTACTAAACCTGTGATGGTAAGAGATAGCAAGTACTTAATAGAATAGTCATATATGGTTAAAGTATCTCACTCGTTATTCGTGATAGTCAATTCATCGTCAATTGAATCTTGGTTTCATGGTCTAGGCCTCTTGGAAGATTAAGGATGAAGATCTTCAATCTCTGCGTCCTTTGTGGAAAAATCATTCACGTAAATTTAATGCTCTTACAATAAATAGGAAATTATTGCGTATAAATTGGCTCGGACACCAATATCATTAAAAGAAGTAAATACCTTTTAGTTATCTTGAATGTCCTTTACAATTTTTATATGAAGTCGTTCTCTTAAGGGCGGCCATGTGATCTTTGCCGATGCATTTGAGAATTTGAAAGAAAAAATATGGTTTGAGTGAGGTAATCAGACATTTGAATCACGAGTTCTAATTATATTAATTAAGCCAAATCTGATCCTGAGAACCATTACTAACTAGGAAGTTTGAACTGTCGACCTATCGTATTTTTTGATACTCTTGCTATGTCATCCATTTGGTCATTAACAACTTCAACTAACTAATCGTTGAATTTCGTCTAACTAATTTCCGTGTAATTATAAAATTCAAGTTGATGAAACCTGAAAGCTAGAGCAAGTTAATAAGTATAGCAAGACACACATTTTTACATTATTATTATTATTATTATTATTATTATTATTATTATTATTATTATTATTATTATTATTATTATTATTATTATTTAAGGAGGGCATTCGCTAGTATATTTTTGTAATTATGCCGATCAAGGCCAAATTAAACTTTGCCCCTGATATCTAATTAGTTTTTTATAATTATAGAACATCGTGATTGCTCTTTCTATAGAACATTATCCAAGAAATAATACAATATAACGCTAAACTTATTCTTAAAATTTTCTTTTCGAAGGGAAAAAAAAATTCAAGTGGTCGTCTATATTTGTCAAGTTCATTGCACACGAAGTACGAAAGAGCCACCTTGGACCACATAGGTTTTTTGGTGTTTTGTCCGTGTTGGTACTAATTAAATAGAAAATATATGGATGGCAAAATGTTGAATTTCAAAAGATTAAGGATTACTTTGAACAATTTGAACAAGATCAAATATTGCTAATTGTCCATGCAGAGTTACAATTTGAACAATCACATTGGTTTGTTTCCCTTCTTTTTTTCTTTTTTTTTCTTGTTTTCGTAATTATGAAGCATATTAGTCATTTTGATATGCTGCACGTTATCCTTTAAAACCATATGACCCAAACCAAAGAGGGGGAAAAACATCATACGCCCAACTGAAAATTTAGTAAGTAGTACTCCCTCAGCTTTAATTTATGTGTATTAGTTTAGTTTGACTTGCACGAAGTTTAAGAAAGATAAGAAAAACTTTTACTCCTATGGTATTAAAGTAAGAGACATATATAATGTACCAAAATATTTTTGAATTATGTGGTCTTAAATATATCATATAAAATTTTGGAGTTAAATAGTTACTAAATATAGAAAGAGACATTATTTTAAACAGATTAAAAAGGGAAGTAAAATATACTCCATCCCTCACTTTACTTGTCCACTATTCTAAAAATATTTTTTTACTTTTACTTATCTACTATACTAAATCAAGAGAAAGATAATTTTTTTTCATGTTTTACCCTTATCATTAATTGCTCATTTTCAAAATTATTTCTCAAAACCTTTTGAAATGCTATCATTATTAGGGGTTATATGGTAAAATATATACTAAAATTATTATTTCTTAAGGGACATGAAAAGTCTAAAGTGGACAAGTAAAATTGAACTCGGGGTATAAATTGAAATGGGGAGAGTATTATTCTTCCACGGCAAAGGTTCTTTACTTCCCTTTCACTTTTAATTTGCTTTCGATACTAGCAGCTAAAGTTCACTTAAAATAGTGAAGTTTGAATTTATGCGATACATTTTTGCTTTTCGAGATTCAAATTGTGTAAAGTTTGATCAGCATTTTAAAATATATATATATATTACCATATTGTCATTAAAAAATTGCAACTTATAAATTATAATACTTTTTGTATAGGTTTTAAATATCTAAAGTTTTATTTTAAAATACAGGGTTGAATTAGCTTTAAAAATTATTAAAGTGTTGACTTTCAATAAGCGAAATATGTCATATAAATTAAAACAGAGGGAGAGTAGTGATTTTCATTGCTTGTGAGGACACTTATTTTTTTAAGTAGGAACTTTATGTAGGGTTACTGGATTGACTATCACATATTCACATGCCTCTTGACTCTTGCCTCCCCATTAAGATCCAAAGTACCAGTACTAACTTTGTTGCAGTACGCAAGGATAAATTAAAGTTTTGCTAGGGCTTACCATTTAAAAATATAAACTATGCCCAGAAGTCTTGAGAAAACAGACAACTTTCAATAAATCAGAGGGAAACCGAAATGGAATTTTAATATGAGAACAACTAAATTTCTAAGATTCCTAATTTAACTAGCTAATAACTGTAACTTTCAATATTTCCAACCTCCAAACTCTTTTTATAATTACAGGTTCCTACTTAAGTCATGACAATGTTAAACTATGATATCTTTCTTTCTTTACTTAGTGGCTAGCTACAGCAACGACGTGGAACAAAGTATTGGATTTGAGACGAATCACATGCAATGGTAAAAAATTATTGGGAGTTTTCTATTGTATAACCGTCCACTCTAATAAATAACCGCTAAATATGTAATATATGCATAGTTTGTGTATAATTTATGCCTATTAGCGAGCAGTTGTAAATAGTTTTAGCTGAGTGACCAATGTGTAATTTCCCCCAAATTATTTAATGAAAGGATACATGTGGCTAGCTTCAACTAAATCATCCACTAGCTTATCTCTACTCATCCATTGCCAAAAATTCCAAGACATGCTTTGTTGCCCCCATGTGTTTTAATTTGTGCAGTGTATTTCAAGTTTGGTACTAATATTTTCCATCTGTTTTAAGGGTTGATGCATGTGCATTGCCTGCACCAAACTTCACTTCTTCTTTTCTTTTTTTTGGAAAAAGTTTAATCCATTGAGTGTTAAATTTGCTTCTTTTATTAATATTTTCTTTTGTGGGTAAGAGTGGAGAAGGTTTCTGAACTGTTATGGAAAAAAATAGAAGAAAAATTTAATATTTGTAATATTTAAATTCCATTACTTAGTTAATGACGAAGATCCTACTTTAGAGGTTAGATTTATAAAAGTGATATGGCGCCAAATGGAGCATACATGAGTACTCAGATGCTTCTTCTATTTATTTATTTTTTGTGGTGCAGCTGGACTATCCTGAACTTGAATTACAGACCTTCCTCGTGAAGTAAATTATCGCACCTATGGTCCAACCAACTAGTTCTTTATTTTGTCACGTAGAAAATGAGAAGCACCAAGTTTTGTTAGTTTCATATTGCGTTAGTGGTCTTGCATGCTTATGAGTGCTTCTTTGAAGGAGAAAAAAAAGGAGTAATAACTAGCTCTTTATTTTGTCACGTAGAACAAGATGAGAAGCACCCATTTTTGTTGGTTTCATATTGCTTTAATTAGTGGTATTATATGCTTATTACTTCTTTGAAATATAGTAATATACACTTGACTTTTGTAGGTAACAGAATCCCATAGCAAAGGAAAGTGCTTTCTATAAATAAATTTTAAAAGAAAATCACAATTCTTCAACGTATAAATCCAAATTTAGTTTCTGTATTAATATTCTTACCTAATATATGGGTTACACATGCGCTTAGGCCTTGATTAGGGAAAAGCAAATGACACATACCTTTATGATTGGGCACTTATATTAATTTGCACTATAATTCTCAACTTTTCTCTCCATCCCGACTTATGTAACACTATCTTCGTTTGTTAGCTGCCAAGGCTATCAACGAGATAGAGAGAGTTGAGATTAGAAGAAGAGAGAATTTGAGAGAGGAGAAGAACAGATCGAGAGAAATGAAAATGCAATCTGTTAGTCTTTTATTCACTGTGCACTGTTTATGTATACAGTACATAACTACCACCTAACAACCTAACCATAACTAACTTCTAACTACCAAACCATATACATTTAACAACCTAACTATACACTCTACAGTTAAGTCTACGAACTAACTATGGTTAGTCATCAACTTGTGTCTAGTTTAGCCAACACTCTCCCTCAAGTTGATACTCTAAACAAGTTCTCAACTCCAAGCTAGTTCAGCAAATGATTATGTTGTGCCTTCCCTAAACTCTTGGTAAGCAAGTCTTCCAGCTGATCTTCTGTACTATGTATATGCTCAGTTTGTAGCAGTCCTTGGCTGATTTTTTCTCTATCAAAGTGATAGTCTATGTCGTTGTGCTTTGTCCTCTCATGGAATATAGGTTTAGCTGCTATTTATATTGCAACTTTGTTGTCTGATATCATCTTTATTGGCATCTAAATGTTAACTCCAAGTTCAAATAAACAAGCCTACTAGCCTTGTGATTTCTACTGCACAAGCAGTCATGCTTCTAAACTCATATTCTGCAGAACTTCTTGAGACAGTGTTCTTCTTCTTGGACTTCCATGATACCAAAGTCTTCCCAAACTTAACTAGGTACCCAGTGACTGATCTTCTTGTTTCTACACGTGTTCCCCGGTCAGAGTCACAGTATGTAGTGAGTTGCTCAGTATCTCCAGTAGGTATGATCAATCCCAGACCAAGAGCTTGTTTGATATACCTCAGTACCCTTAAAGTTGCTTCAATATGAGATACTTTAGGAGAGTGCATGTATTGACATAATACATGTACTTCAAAAGCAATATCAGTCATAGTTAGATACATAGTCTCCCCACCAATCTTTGATAGTTGTTGGGATCTTCAAGCTGCTTTTTGCCACCTGATTCCTTATGTTCGATACACTCATTATACTTTACTGATGTAATTTTTGGTTCAGTTCTAGTGGAGTACCGGCTGGCTTAGCTCCTCCTAAGCCTACCTCAGCAATTGTCTCAAGAGCATTGTTGGGTCCAAACACACACACACGCAAGTATATGCGGTTGATAAGTAATAAAGTAATAAAAAAATATTGTTCCCACGAAGATTTATGATCAACTATTATGCATTCTAAGATATTTATAAAATCAATGCTCAAGTGAGTGTGAAAAAGATGATTGTGATTTTTGTAACTAAATTACTACAAACTAATAAGCAAGAAAGAAAATAAGATTGCAAGAAGAGAAAACAAACACTTAGAGAGAATTCAATGAGATGGGGATACTCCAGGGTTATGCGATTAACGTCTCTCTTATTGCGTTTTTCGGGTTGATATAATCACTTGACTTATCTAATTTGTTGATTAGCAGGGTTTATTATGCTCGTGAAATTATTTCGACAATTTGCTCGCTTATTCATGCCAACCTAAGACTATACGTCTGTAGAATCAAACTTGACAAGAACACACGTATATTTCATGCAAAAATAATCAAGTAACGCAACTAGAATATGTCTATCCTAATCACGAATCTATTCTCCGATGTTCGGATTCAAGAACTTACTCTATTCAACCTTATATGTAATTTATAGCTCCTACTTTGGAGTTTAACTATAAATCTGTAGATAGTACTCTATTGTTAGCTACACAATAGAATAATTAAGTGCAAGATTTAATAAACAAATTAATATGATAAAATCAAGCAAAATTATCAACCATCAAACTACAATAGTCTAGAACAACCCATAACCCCACAATAATAAGGTTCTTAGTCACTCATATCCATAACAATCATCAAAATAAAGTTTTCAAACATAAAAGCTATGAATACTAGAAGAAGAATGGAACAATTGATGAATTCCGTGCTCCTGAGTGTTTCGTACTTGTGTTTTTCTCTCAAAGTCACATCTCTCCCACTAAAATAGGTTTAGGTTTTCTTTTATACGAGTTGGGGCATCTTGGGGTCGAAATAACCAAGTCCAAGGCAATACCTGTGGCACTACTTTGTGACTTTTTCCCTTTTCTTGCCCTTTTCGCTTCAATTCGCGCACCTTCATCCCAAATTGCCTTCGGATGATTCCTACACATAAAAATTCCACCACTTAGCACAACTCATTACATTCCACATCCAAAATCTACAAAATATGAGTAAAATGCGAGACAATATGCATATAAATATATATACTTTAAGCTGAATATCAACACCACATACTTAAACTCTTGCTCGCGCTCGAGCAATGGAACTACAACTATACCCCAACAACATGCATCTCACTAGAAAAGAGCAATTCAAATTTAATTCAATCATACACTCTAACTTTTGGCTATGGTTGACACTGGCAATCAAGCACGAACCTACAAAATTCACATTCTTTCCTTTTTAAACATGCCCAAGTATACACAATACAGTTCAACAATTCAAATAACCTATCCATAACCACCCTACCTCAAGGGCCGACTTGTTACCACTAAGCACTCTCAACTCGCGCACTCACCAACAAGAGAAGTTTACAATATTTCTAATCCGGGATGAGATCAAGTGCCTTCACCACAAACAAAAGAGTGAATATAAAAATAGTCCATACGTTCAAATACGACTTTGAACATAAATTAAGGACATCACACAATTGAACAAAATTTGCTCACTCTCACAAAGAATTTCATGTGCATCCTGTAGTCGTACCATAAACTTTCCTGTAGTGTAAATCTTTACTAATCTAAGCTGGCCAAATCTAGGATCGATTAGGACTTTATGATTGTAATGTAGGCTAAGGGACGGGTATGATACATTTAAGAATAGTGATTAACCTTCCTAAGCACTTTAATACACCATATACAAGAATCGAGCACTTTTCTTCTCAACCAATTCACTCGCCATAAATCATACACAATGTATCCCTTTCTTCAATTAAGCACTCTACATCCCCACTAGCACGAATTAGTAAGATTGGGAGGTGTGCGTCTTTCTTCTTTTTGATATCAACATTATTTTTCTATTTGTTTTCTTGAAACTTTCTTTTCTCTTTTTTTTTTCTCTCTACACACACTCCATACATTAAGGTTCATTGGCTAGTGGTATTTTTTACGACTTTAGACACTTTATGGGCCCTTCCATGATTCAACTCGAAAGCTATTTCCCAAATCTCTCACTTACTTCTTTTAGCGCCTAAGTTCCTTCGGAGTTAAAGGTTCAACAAGCTTAAATTTAGAACAAAATATGGGTACAGCTTGTAGTATGGGTGCCAAAGAAGAAGTCTATAGGCTCAAACGGGCTAGCAACAGAAATTTTTTATTTGTTGGTTACAAGCACCTCTATGATCAAGAAATAAAAGCCGATTTCATCTCCTAAACTAGCACAACTTAATGATTTTGCTTCGATTAACACATGGGGCAAGTTCTAGATTACATAGGATAAACAGACAAACACAAATCCTCACACACACATTTCACATGACTCAATCAAGACGGTTTTATTCAGCTCTTAAGTCAAGCAAGCACATATAGTTGAAAATTTTTAAGTGATACTGCACTAGGTGACATACAAGTCAAACAACTAAGAAAAAAACGTCACAGAGTAGGCTACTTATTTTACTTAGGCATTATAATTCAAATTAAATATACAGGAAGACAGAGTGCATGCCATAGCTTAATGTGCCAGCACCAAACATGTCAACAGGTATCTCAGAGCAACTCACTTTTATTCCTAAAACAAAAAAAAAAACAAAAAAAAAACACCCGGTTCAAGCTACACCCTTGGAAAACAATTGGCGTCCAAAGAAAACCCAAGGGATACTACCTAACTATCCTAACAAAAACAAAAGAAGTTTTTTTGTTGATATTTTTAATCAGACTTTAATCTCTCAAGAAAATTATCCAAGAGATCCATCATCGGGAAAAGTCCGAGCTTTTTCTGATTTGTTTTTCTATTTTCATTTTTTTAATAACTAAAACTAACTAATTAGACTATGTGAGTTCTAAACTAAGCTAAAAAATAAAATTAAAAAAAAAGTTTTATACAATTACAAGTCAAGAAGTATTTCCCCCACCCCATATAATGCATAGTTCATGTTGCATAAACAAATTCAAAACAAAGTAAGGTAGAAAGAGAAATCCCTGCTAGTCGGACCCATGCGGGTCATACTCAGATCTCTCATCCTCAGAAGGCCCACCAGCTGCAGCTTCGGGCTCATATTCATCATCCGCTCCCAGGGGCACCAAAGCCATGGGCCCCGTGACTTCATCACCAATCTCATCCTCATCATCTGAGCGTTTGTGGGTGTTCTCATCCTCTGACGGGTGAATAGAACTGCCAGGTGCAATCCCCAATATTTCCTTGGAAGAACTGGATAGATGAATGCGTAGATGCATACGCTGTTCACCCGTGACCCCCAACTTGCTCATTATCACATTAAGGGACTTATAGAGATACTTGTTGAAGTTTTCATCCCTATCATTCTGCGCCGCCTAGCTCAACTTTGATGTAGACTCTAATAAGGACGTGATATCCATCAACCCCTTTTGTGCCTTCACAACCTCATCATAGTTGGGTACTCTGATACCTCACGGGCTAGCATGTACAACGTTAACAGGTTTCCAAAGAAGAATCTCATGATTTTTCATCCAAAGCGGGTGCGTGCCATCTCTCCTAGCATGATCTCACCCACATTGATTGGTCGCCCAGTCATTAGAAAAAATATCAAACATACTCGAGCTCAAGTGAATTCACTATTGTGCTCAACCGACATCAGTTTTGCCCGTACAAAGTTTTGCCACACCGTGGCAGTCTTGTTGAAGTCGAAGTGGATCATCTCAAGATGGGTATCCCCCTTAGTCTGTGTCTATTTTGCATTAGAATCAACGCCAAGAGTGTGACGTATTGCCTTATAGCTTGGGTATTTGACAAACTTTTGCAGCCTTCGTGGGTTAGGGCTATCAACTCCCAAAAATTCGCATACGGAATGCCTATCCGTTGACATCTCCTGTCCTCAGACACATAACTTGAGCAAATCCCCGTTCCAATTTGCATAAAATTCCCGCATCATGCTCAAATTTGCATGGACCGGGCACTCTAGGAACTATCCATCTTCATTTTTCTCAACCAGGCAAGCCCATCCGGGAAGTTTTTTTCTAGAGTTTTCACATTAATTCCCATTTCAGAGACGTACCGCCCATATGGAAAAAGGGTATGATACCATTGGATGGCATACTCACGAACTATATCCAAATGAGACCTTGGTACCGATGGAGCCTTCCTCGACCCACTAGCAACCTGCTTTTAGCTTGCCGAGACGAACCTTCACCCTGCTTAAGTTTGTTTTTAGGGGGGGAGGGCAGTAGGGGAGGAAATCCCCACTCTTTTTCCCTTGGTATCACTATCATAAGCCATAACAACCTACACACGATAAACATAAATGTAAGAATGAATCAAGAAATTTGCCCAAAGTCATTGTGAGAGTCAAATATGACCCCACACTTAACGCCGAAAGCTCTATGTAATCTACTCACAATAGTGGTTCAAAGTGCTCAAATGTTGAACCACAAGGCGATGGGTACTCAATACTTCCCTATGCCACACAATTCAAGTAGTCGAACATGGACATGACTTAGCCATAGTGCAAACAAGTAATACTTGAGTCCAAATTACTACAACTAGTATAATACACTAACTACTTCTAACAAGAGGCTACAAGATACATTACACATGATACAAGGTGTGGGTAGTGTGATTATGGTATGATGAACATGGAACACGAGCTTCGGATTATGTAAATCCACACCCAAACACCCAACACTTAGCCCAACATCACATACAACAATACTTGGCTACTCAGACTTCAAT